CTTCCCTTCCCCCCACCTCCCCCTCTCCCATGTCCCCCCAGAACTGTCAGTCCCATTGTTTTCTCCTCCAGATTGTTCACCAAACAACAATCTAATGGTAATAATAACAGCAGCATCTCCTGGGGTTATTGAAAGGATTAAGCAAGTCTCTTTCTATTGCTGGAGCAAAGAGTTCCAGTCTCAGATATCCACAGGGCCTGCTCCCCCCTGTCCCATAGGGCCGCTGTGAGTCAGCATCAGCTCGATGGCAGTGAGTTTGGTTGTGGAGTTTATACGTGGGCAAATGCCTGGCCCAGGGACAGCCAGCAGTCAGCAGCTGGTGTTTTCAGAGGGCTGAGGGATCGTCTCCTTGGAGAGCAGGATTTGAGCGCTGGCAGTCTGTGGGGGAAGGTCTCCACATGCGCACCCAGACTTCCTTTACAGCGCTCTGCACATGGTGAGGGTTTTGTTAATCGAAGGTTTGTGATAACCCTGCATCAGGCAAGTCTGTCGCCACCATTTTTTGCCAACAATGTGTCTCACTGTGTCTCTGTCACATTGTGTCTCTGTGCCACTCAGTGTCTCTGTCACACTGTGTCTCTGTCACACTGTGTCTCTGTCACTCCAAAGAGGATCTCAAGAGGGAGTGCCACCAGGCTTCTTTCTCCAAAAAAGTTTCCTGCAGCTTCTGTGCACCACGATGAATGACAGGCCGAGCTCGGGTGGGGAACAGAGGGTGAATTGATTAAATCCTGCCACACGCACGTGGCTTCAGGGACCCCCACAGAACACTCTTGTTCACACCGCTCTGCCAGGGCCTGACACTCCCCTCTGGTGCATTTTAAGCAGGGCTGGACTATACACCAACCCTCAAGTGCTGGCAGGAATCTGAGGGGAGGAGGTTGAGGGGTGGGGCAGTGTGCAGTCTCCTCAAAGCCCTGGTTCTGGGTGTCTCACCATTGCCATTGCCAGTCAGGGGCAGGGAGGTAAAGAAGCTGTAGGTGCCCTTCACAGCATTCTCAGCCCAGTTCCATCCTTCCTCCCCACTAGGTGGTCCCCCCGACCTTGCTTCCCTCCTGCTCCAGAGACAGCAGGGACTCCATGGATGCACTCAGAGTGAACCCTGTCTGCCTTGGCCATCCTCCTCATCCCCAGGCCCCTGCACCGCTTCCCAGGCCCTCAGTGACCCTTCAGCTGGAGAAATCATGCTTGTAAAAGGAGCCTGGGACGTGGGAGCTAAGCCCTGCAATCCCTGGTCACTCCCAGGCAGATCTAAGAATACCACTGCCCAACAGTTGGGACAGTTGGGTCTCTTCCAGGGTTTTCTTCCTAGGAAAATTGCTTTTTCCAATGAATTGGCCTTCCCCTGGGGTCACATATTAAAAGGACCCCTGGGAAAAGTCTTCTTTTTGCAATGGGGAGGGTGGGTGCAGAAGGAAATATTCCCCGCTGGGGAGGGCCTCACGGTGCTTGTGAACAGGAAAGCAAGTGTGAGACCATGCCACCTCCAGGGCACTTGTTCCCGAGCCCAGGGTAAAGGTCCTCCAATGTCACCCCGAACTGCAGGAAGTGGTTATAAAGGGCGACTGGTGATTCTACAGAGACAGGGGCATTTGAAAGTGAAGGCAAGATGTGAGTGTGTGTTCATATGCGTGTGTGTGTGTGTGTGTGTGTGTGTGTATTTAACACAGAACTCTTTCCCTTAGAGGTGCAATACCTTCACCCCCAATCAGAATTAGGAGACCCTCAGCATCAGCCATGAGGAGAAATGAAGTCCCGAGCCATGCCACACCACAGAACAGTACATTCTGGATGATCCCATCTGTAGGAAATATCTGGAACGCCGTTTCTTTTTTTTTTTTTTTAACATTTTATTAGGGGCTCATACAACTGTTATCCCAATCCATACACACAACAATTGTGTAAAGCGCATTTGTATATCGTTTCTCAAAACATTTTCTCTCCATTTAAACCCCCGACATTAGGTCCTCATTTTTCCCCTCCCTCCCCGCTCCCCCCTCCCGCATGAGCCCTTGATAGTTTATAAATGGGTATTTTGTCATATCTTGCCCTGTCCGACGTCTCCCTTCATCCACTTTTTGGTTGTCTGTCCCCCAGGGAGGAGGTCACACACAGCTCCATGTAATCGGTTTCCTCTTTCCTACCCATTCTCCCTTTACCCTCCCTGTTTTGCCACTCACACCACTGGTCCTATAGGGCTCATCCGTCCTGGATTCCCTGTATTTTCAGTTCCCATCTGTACCAGTGTACCTCCTCTGGTCTAGCCAGTCTTGCAAGATAGGATTCGAGTCATGGTAGTGGGAGCGGGGAGGAAACCTTTAGGAACCAGAGGAAGGCTGCACTTCTCATCATTGTTACATCGCACCCTGACCGGCTCATCTCCTCCCCGAGACCCCTCTGCAAGGGGATCTCCAGTGGCCTACTAATGGGCTTTGGAGCTCCACTCCGCACTCCCCCCATCATTCACTATGGTAAGATTTTTTGTTCTGATGATGCCTTATACCTGATCCCTTCGACACCTCGTGGTTGCATAGGCTGGTGTGCTTCTTCCATGCGGGCCTTGCCGCCTCTGAGCTCGATGGCCGCCTGACCACCCTCAAGCCTTCAAGACCCCAGACGCTATACTCTTTGCCAGCCGGGCACCATCAGCTTTCCTCACCACATTTGCTCATGCACCCATTTGTCTTCAGTGATCCGTTCGACACCCCGTGATCACACAGGTTGACATGTTGTGGAACGCCGTTTCTATGCAGGTCAGAGTTTATTCGTAGTTCCCAGGAAGAAAAGTCGTAAGGCTGACTACCACAACCGAACTAACCCACCATCTTGGCCATCAAGTCATAAGGACCCCAGGTAGGAATTTGAGGCTGTAAATCTTTAGGAAATCAGGCAGCCTCGTTGGTCTCCCACTGAGCGGCTTGTGGGTTTGAACCGCCAACCTTGTAGTTAGCAGCCCAAAGCCTACGAGCTTTTGGTAAGGATGCTGTAACTGAGCTCAGGCAGGAGCAATGATGCGTTTGGCGCTGGGCCTGGCAGTATCTTGCTCTATTGTGCGCGAGTCGGAACCAACTGGTGACACTGAACAACCAAACTGTACGTGCCAAGATCGCTGAAATGGCAAACGTTTTGTCAACCATATATTTACCACGATTTTAAACATAAAAGAAGAGTACTCCGACAAGATCGGCCTCGATCGAAGCACTAAGCTGGTGGGGAATCACCCAGGTTCCCAAGGAGAGAGCGAGAGTTCCAGGAGGTGCTCCCTGATGGCAGTTCCCACCTAGCCTCCCCCAGGGCCTTTTTTCTCTGAAGCCGCTTCTCTCCCGGAAACGAGTCCCCGTTTCTTCCCCAGGAGCCCTGGTGGCTTAGGAGGTTAGAGTTGGGCTGCGAACATCAAGGTTTGAACTCGCCAGCTGCTTTGGGAAACGAAGACGAGGCTTTCAGCGCTCGTAATTGATTTACAGCCTTGCAAACAAACGTGTGCATTTCTATACTGTCCGATAGGGACGCGAGTGGGGATCGACTCTATTGGCAGTGAGTTTGGGTGGGATGGTTGGCTTTTCTTCCCTTGCACGCTCTCCTTTCCCGGGGAGTCTAGAGCACGACTCTGCCTGCGGGAAAAGCCACCGCTAGCTAATTCCTAGGAAGCCTGGCTCATCCAACGCAAGCGCAGGCAAGCAAGAGTGTTACGCATGCGCCGGACAAACCGAACGCCACGCCCCTCCCCGCCACGCCCCGCCCCGTCCCGGGCGGAGGATCCCGTCTCTCCCGCCCTCACCCACACGGCCGCCCGGGCCGCACTTCCTCTCTCCGGGCACTGACGTACGGCGCGTGACGTCAAAGGAAGGCGCCGGTAGTCCCAGAGACGGCTGGAGCTACACGTGGGCTCAAGTTTGGAAACTTTCCGCCTGGGCCATGGACACGCCAAGGCGCAGCCGGCGGTTGGAAGGTAGAAAGCCTGAATCCCCCCAGAGCTCCACCTCCGCTTTGCGGGCGCGACGGGCCCTGGTGGATTTCGAAGAGAAAACGAAGGAGCCCGGGTCCCCACAGAGTCCTTCCAGGGAGCCGAGCCAGGGATCCCCGCTACGTCAGGCAGAAGCAATCCCAGGATCACCCAATTTCCGTCAGAATGTGGGACTGGGGTCTCCCCGAAGGCAGCCAGAGCCTGGCCCCGAGTCCCCGCAGCGTCAGCAAGATCCAAGCGTGGGGTCACCCCGAAGACAATCAGAATCGAGCCCTAAGTCACCCCTCCGTCAGCCAAAGCCAAGTGAGAAGTCCCCGGAGTTAACCAAGAGTAAGGGCGAGCCGGGTCCGGGGTCCCCCCAATGTCAGCCAGAGCCTGACGCGACCGCACCCAAGTCCTTCGAGAACCAGGCTGGACCCGACTCGGAGTTGGCCCAGAGTAAAGAGGAGCTGATCCCGGGGTCTCCCCGACATCACTTGCAACCCGGCCCAGGGTCACCAGAGCCGCCTCCTGGCCAGCAAGCGACAGGTCCGGAGCCCTCGCAGCCACTGCAGGAGCTGACACCCCAGTTACCCGAGTCCCCCCGGTGTCAGCACGAGCCCGGCAAGCCAATCCCAGCTGGGGAGACCTTGCCAGGGAGTGTCGGAGCAAAGAAACGAAGAGGTCCTGTAACCCAGGCCCCAGCGTCCAAAAGGCAGAAGAAGGAGGCGGAGAAGATCCCGATGATTCCGAAGGGGAAGCCCAAGTCCGGGCGGGTGTGGAAGGATCGCACCAAGAAGAGGTGAAGTAACAGAGTGGGCGGGGCTGGGAGGCCTCAGGTGGTATAAGGGCCCCTCCTTTGTGCAGGTGCAGTCTGGGTTTAGGAGACAGCCAAGGCAGGGGGGAGGCGGGCACTGTAGTGGGAGGGATACACAATTTGGCCCTTATAATAAAATTACTGTATTGTGAGATGCCCAGGGAGCCTGGAGGGTGAGATAACTTTTTTCATACTTCCTCCTAGGGGGTCCTCTGATCTTTTCCTGTAGCACCTCATTTCTGCAGTTACTCAGTAGATAAGCCCCTTGGTACCGGAGACAGAAGCCAGTAACCCAGGCTTGACTTCATAAGGCAGTGAGGCCTTCGTCCACTAGTGTTTTCACAGGTGTTTAAACACTTGACAGTCTGGTGGCACTGCGGTTAGGTGTTGGACTCTAACAAAGTCCAGGGTTCAAGCCCACCAGCCGTTCCGAAGGAGAAAAGTAAGGCTGCCTGCCTCCATTAAGAATTATAGTCTCAGACTCTGTGGAGGCTCTTTGTGTTAGAATCAACTTGGTGACCGCAGGGATGGGTTAGGGTTTGGTTGGGGGTTCTCAGCACTCAACTCAGGGCAACTCTATGCACAATGGGGTATAAGGGCCTGAGTCCCATGTCACCCCACCCCCACCCCATGATTAGTTCGAATGGACCGTGGAGATCCATAAGGCTTTCCTTGGCTGATTTGGGGGAGTGGTTTGCCAGGCCTTTCTTCTTAGTCCATCTTAGTCTGGAGGCTCCTCTGAAACCTGTTGGCATCATAGCAATAGATCAGTCACAGATGCCTGTGAGGTGCATTGGCCAGGAACCGAGCCCAGCACGTCACTACTACGTGGTTGATTCTGATCACAGCAACCCCATCAGAGAGGGTACAACTGCCACTGTGGGTTTCCAAGACTGTAACGCCTTGCAGGAGTAGTAAAACCTGGTCTTTCTTCCGAGGAGCAAATTGTGGTTTTGAACTGCTAACCTAATGGTTAATAGCCCAATGTGTAACCCACTACGCCACCAGGGCTCCCCAAGCTCCCACATAGGAGGTGAGAATTCTCCCACTGTAATTAGCACTTCACTAGGGGTTAGCCAGAATAAGAGCCTTTTAAATAGCAGGAACAGCAGTGAATCTTCACAATAATCCTCAGAAGCTAGTGTTCTTATTATTCCCACTGCCTATGAAGAAATGAGCCTCAGACCCCAAAAACCCACTGCCATCAAGTCCACCTCGATTCATGGTACAGAGTAGAACTTCTCCTAAGGGTTTCGAGGCAATAAATCTTCATGGGAGTGGCCAACCTCATCTTTCTTCCTTGGAGCCATTGGTAGATTCAAACTGCTGACCTTCCAGTTAACAGCCCACTGTATAACCTGCAACACCACCAGGGCTCCTGAGTGAGGCTCCCCACACCCACTTTCATCCAGTCGATATAAATTCATAGTAACCCGACATCGAGTTTCCAAGGCTTTGTGAATTTTTAGGAGCCCTGGTGGTGTAGTGATTACACATTGGACTTGGATCCACAAGGCCAGCATTTCAAAACTACCAGTCACTCCGAGGAGAAAGAAGGGACATTCTACTCCCATACACAGTGACAGTCTCAGACACCCACTGGTGCAGTTGTACCCTGTCTTATAGGGCCGCTCGGAGTCAGCATCGACCCGATAGCAGTGAGTAAGTTGGGAAGCTCAGGAAGTAGCAGACCAGAATGTGAGCACACAGCACATCCAAAAGCTTTTGTGTGAGACCCCTGTAGACCCTCCTGGAATTGTTTTGGAGCCTCTGTAAGAACAGGCCCAAGGTCTTCTGGGTCTTTCTGGGCCAAGAGCTTAGTAAATGCTCGATAATGCCTATTGAATGAAGCAATGAAGAGACAAGAGTTTAGGCTGTCAAGGAGCTCATGTTTGCTAGTGGGAACCACCAGGCAGTGTAGAACTGCCCCAAAAGGTTTTCTGGGCTTAAACCTTAGTCTACCATCTTGGGTCGGCGGAGGCCTGGTGGCTGTGATCCATAAGGTCAGCGGTTTGAAACCACCAATGGCTCCACGGAAGAAAAACAGGGCTTTCTACTGCCACACACGGTTACTGTCTGGGAAACTCAGCGGGAGAGCTGTCCCCTGTCCTCTAGGGTCACTGCGTCACCATCCACTCAATGTGGCAGTGAGTTTGGTTCGGTTCTGGAGCGGCAGCTGCTCCAGGAAGTGTCACAGCTCAGGGGACGGAGGCGGGTCGCCAAGGCTGGGGAGCACCTGGCTGCAGTCTCCCCCTTCCTGCCCAGGGCAAATGCCACCTCCTCCAGCGCCTGCCCCTTGGTGTGCCACCTCCCTTCTGAGGGAGCAGCGTTGACTGACCACCTGTGGTTGTGAGAGCCGCCATCACACTGGGCCCCCAACTCGTGCCACTCCGGGCACAATGGGAACAGAGCGTTGCCATCCATGGGGTTTTCATCAGCTGGTTTTTGGAGTTAGATGGCCAGACCTTTTTTCCTAGAACATCTGCTGGAAGCTCTGTTGAACCCTGTTGGGCATGCTAGCCGTACCCAAACCTCCGCTGACAGAGGGGTGGGAGCTGTGTTGAACCACACTGCCCTCCTCTTGGGCACCTGATGTGTGCCAAGTGCTCCGCCCCGGGGGCCCCCACCCCCACCACCACCCCCACCCCCGTGTCATGGGAAGGATTCCCTCCATGGAACTCCGCAGACTCCCTTGTCCAAGGTTACACAAGTAATCCTACTGGCTTCAGGACTGGGAACCCAGGCCAGTCTCCCAGTCTCCAAGGAAAACTTGAACTCTACTGCCCCATACCAGGGTCACCAGTGGCATGAGGCTGTGTCCATCTAAATAGGTTAAGACAAAATAAAAGAAGAAATTTGATTCCTCAGTCACACCGACCATACGGTCTCAAGTGCGCAGTGACCAGGGGAGATGGAGATGGAGAGCAGAGCCATCATCCCAGGCAGGTCTGGCATCTCCAGGCCTGACCACCTCATCCCTCTGGTCGTCCCTCTGGTCCTCGTGTCCCGTTAGGGAAGTGTGGCTCTGAGGGCAGGGAGGAAAGCCATGGGACCGACTCTTCTGTGATTGGTCCTTTGGGGTTGGGCTGGGGGCAGGCTGAGTGGTTGGTGGGGGGGGGGAGCCAGCACAGGGCTCCCCATTTTTCCAGGTACCCCCAACCCCCTGGGTGCTTTAGCTAGCCTGCCTC